GCAGGGGATGCTCACTTCCCCATGGCAAACGATTCAACCTCTAGTGTTTTTCATACTATTTGTTAGGTCATTATATTAACTGTCGACGGATTTGTCCGTTATTTGCCGATCATGACAAGGAGCACACGGCGGGTGGGACCGGTCGGCAGGGGATGCTCACTCCTCACCTGATCCCACTTCTGATGTTTTTTTAGGTCCGTCTGCACTGCTTCTATTTTGTATTGTTTAATGGACTTAGCTTGAATACTGTTCGTTATCTCCATTAATTTCATCTGGAACAAAACCAGCTGATGTTAACATTGTCAAAAAATGCTTATGTCAATGAAAATTTCGAATTTTTGTATCAGGTATATATGTGTATGTGTGTTTAAATTTAATGATGTTGTGGAGAATACTCATAGTGACCTATTTAGAACGTATTTTTTGTCCTTTTTTTATAGGCCGATTTCATTTTCCTTTATTATGAAAAAGAATTACTAGTACATGTATTTAAAAATTACTTCCTAAGAAGAAATAAACACTTTTAGGTTTTCAACAATAAGATATATCAATGACGTTGAATTAAGTATTAAAAGTTATTTTCATTCATATCCCAGTGACCTGAAATTCAGTATCATCTATTTCATATTTGAATGTATTATACTGGCTAACGACGATTAGGACCAACAAAATTATCCGATAAAAGAAATGACTTTAGCTATTCTTTGTGAACGGTAAGTTGTTTAAATCGAGAGAAACTACTGACCAATAAGTTGATGTTGCACGGATTTCAAAAATTTATATTAAAGTCAACATATCCTTAATTGCATGACCGCTATAATGACCTTCCTGGCAAAAAAAAAACTATCGTATTGTGACTGTATATTTCATACTGTCTACTTCTTAGACTTTTATTTTTAGACTAGTAAGGAACATTTCATCTAAGTGCCCAAAACTTTGGACCTACGGCTGGAGTTCTTCTCCTTGGCTACTGATTCAATTTTCAGTTGCCCGTGTTTAAGGCTTTAGATTGTTCCAAATAAGAGATATTTTGACAATTCCGACCATTATCTTCAATAATATGTTCACCTTAAATCTGTAATTCTTGTGAAAATTTAATAAAATGAAGAACAGTATTCAAGCTCAAAAGCCCATTCAATAAATAGAAATCAGGATCAGAGCAAACACGGATCACTAAAACGTCAGAAGTTGGATCAGGTGCCATGTAGGAATAAGCATCCCTTGCTGACCGGTCACACCCGCTGTGTGCTACTTGTCATGATCGGGAAATAATGGAAAAATCCGTCGATAAATATTGATTTCTTTATTTAAAAGCAATCACGATTAACAGTTTTATACTTATTTTTACTTGAAAACAATGGGTTCATCGGACAAGAGAAGCCACAGAATGTCACAAAATAAAGAAAATGTAATATATGGCAATATATATATACATGATTCACATATGTATCATTAACAAATATGCGGATTTAATTTGTGTCTTTTGTAGGATGTAAACAATTTTTCAAAATGTTTGTCTTCACAAAACTTTACTCCTGCCTCAAAAATGCCATGGAAAGTTTTTTTTTTTTTGTCTGATTTCTGGCTGATTTGGTATAACTTGGCACACAAGTGTGACCTTCAGGAAAAACTCATTATAAAACATATTTCTGTGCATCGGTTTTTGATTTCATGTATTTTTGTAAGCTAAAATACTGCTAAAATACTATTAGTTATATTTGTCTGTTGTTAAACATCATAAAACATTCTCCACAACAAATTAACTAAAAATAGCTAATTTTCTATGATTACCAACAAAATTCTTTATTAAACTTTTTACAAAAAAACATACTACTTCGAAATTGATTTTGACTGAAGTTCATTAATGTCAATTTGTCTTGTCTGATTTCAATATAACTTGCTATTTTATAATTTCAAATAGAATATACTAAAATACAAAATTCTGTGCATTGGTTTTTGCAATATTCAACATTTTTATGAGTTTTTTTTAATTGAAATGGCTTCTGAATCCCGCGTCACATACTAACTTATTATGAAAAGAAAAAAATGGAATTTAAATATTCTCATTATAAATTATCAAGGCATAGCAACAGTTTATTGAAATTCATTCAAAACGCTACTCCTCCTAAACAACAGCTACTCCTCCTACAGTTTTGTCTGATTTCAGTATAACTTGGCACACAAGTAGACTTCACTAAGAAACATATTTCTGTGCATCGGTTTTTGATTTCGACGAACGGTGTTGCCATGTTAACTAAAAATAATTTTCTGAAATTCCTTTGCATAAGTTTTTGATTTCAATATAACTTGGCATACAAATAGAATATATAAAATACAAAATTCTGTGCATTGGTTTTTGATTTTACGGTGTTGCCATGGTTACTAAAAATAGAAACTTTTGTTTTCAAAACGCTACTCCTCCTAAGCTTTTGTCTGATTTCAGTATAACTTGGCACACAATGACTACACTTAGATACTCCATCAGTTTTTGATTTGGATGAAAGTTTCATGGTTCTAAAAATAGAATTTTTTGAAAATATATATAACTCTCCACCAAGTTTCACTGATTTAATATATATAACTTGGCACATAATGTACTTTACATAATTCTGTATGTTGGTTTTTAATTTGGGTGAAAGGATGTTACCATAGATACCAAAAATTAAAATTTCTGTTAGATACTTACAAAATGCTGCAGTTTCATAACTTTAATGAGATTTGATAAAACTTTCTCCAAATTTTGAAAACGTTGAAATATATGTATACTGTATTTGTACATATTGTGTATATATTTTTAACCATAAGAATTACGTTGGTCATGTGTACCATGTCTCTTTGACAAATCAAATTTAATCGGGTTCGATGTTCATGAAAATTCTACATACCGACGCCATATTGGACAACGTGCTGAGATAGAGAACTTGAAGTAACTTTTATTGGGGTTTGCGGGATTTTAAAGCTCATAATTACGTTTTCCATTACTTAAAAGGTATTAATTGTTTGATGTAGTGTCTTTTAATACTTTGGTATATGAAATTGATGTATGAATTCAAATTTTTCTTATAAATCTCATCTGATCAATGTGGAACGGTGACTGGCTTAGCTGCGAGGTAAAGCTAAACAAATGTAGACGATTTTACTTTGCTTTTTTTCCAGTGTGCGAGATTTTAAAAGACGATAAGCGAAAATACATGTAACGAATTTTCGTTCAAACGGTACCCAGTGAAAACGGCACTTTCACTTGGTAGAAACGGCACCTAAAGGCTACAGCTAGTATTTGCAAAGAGCACTTGACTAACCCATTATTGGTATGCGTTCAAGATGTAGCTGCTATCCCTCAAAACTACTCGCCTTCAACCTGTGTACTCTGCTTTTTGTTGTTGTTTTTAATTAAATATATATAACAGTTAAGCGCAGTTTGACATCACTATGTAAGTATTTATTTTCAATTTTGGGCCCAGAAGTCATACAAAAGCACAAGTAACAAAATAAAGAGTGAAATTTTTAAATGTGTACAGTTTTGTGTTAGTGTGATGAAATAAAATATAGTGGAGTCCTATGTGATACATTGATTGTGAAATATTAAATATGGGATAAAAAGAAATCTCCAAAGATTTGTAGTGGGATACGACTTTCATCCAACAAGTTGTCACATCTCCTTTGAAATGATGGAACTGAAATGTGTAAAAGGACCACCTTGAAATATAATGGATCATTGATGTTAAACAATATACGATCAATCAATCGAGTCAAATCATGACATCAAGTCAAGGGGTAAGATGGGATAACAAAAGGACAAAATTTTTACACTGGAATAATTATTTACAGGAGAAAGCCAAAAAAATCTGAAGGTCAGCATGAATAGTCATGGTTATTGATATGCAAGCACCTTAGTATTAGGGCTGGGATGATACTGAACTTAACCAATCTGATATATATCATGATACCTTAGGTGCAGTACGATACATATCACGATACATTTAAAACCAAATAAAACTAGATAATTTTTTAGAGCATTTTATTTGGAACATAACAGATTATGAAAATTAACTAATTCAACAGAAACACGACTTACTGCCATCAGGTTTTGTTGATTTAACATAATCTGGCGAGACTGACACCATTTTGACACTTATATTTTGAATTCTGTATCACCAAGTATGTCCAAGATGTTTGTACTTTATTGCTGATTGTTTAATTCTGTATCACCAAGATGTTTATACTTTATATATTTCTAATTGTTTTAACAAGTGCCGAGCATAGGCCAAAATTTGCAGCCTTTCACCGGCAATGGTGACGTCTCCATATCAGTGAAATATTCTGGAGAGGGACATTAAACGGTATACAATCAATCAATCAATCTTGATACAGACTAAAGGACTTAAAATTTCGAATTCTAAAGCCCGGACATTTTATGAAATAAAAAAGCGGTCAGTTATCGTGATATTAAATTAGATGAATCAATCCATATATGGTCAAAGTGAATACTGTTGTCCAACAGTGGATCATCCCACTACTTCTATAGTATACACCTATTAACTGGCTATGAGGACAATAGGTGAAAAGTTTGATGACTTTCACCATGGCCAAATAGCACTAAAACTATTTCATAGTACAAACTCTTAAGAAAAAAATGGCATGTTTATTTGTCATATTTTTATACAGAAATTATTCACAGAAGTATAATAAATAGTATACGAGGGTTGTTTGGAAATTATTGAGACATTTACTTTAAATCCTTAAAACATTGTTATGACATCATCTTTTGTTCTTTTAATACCTTCTTATCCTTGAAATAACAAAAACAATCCAATAAGTTACCTGTAACTGTCCAGTAAGTTGGAAAAACTGTCCACTATTAAAAATAGTGGACATTTTTTTACAACTTATTGGACAGTTACAGGTAAGCACTAAGAAAAAATAACAACAAATCCAACACAAAAGATATACATGTTATTCATGAACAACGAATTACACACATTGTAATAATTATTCCAACTTTAGAATTTAAATTTGAAAAATACACTTCCAGACGAAATTTCAATTTCACTAGCACCAGCTGGTGCACACACATTAGAATCACTTTCGGCTGCGGTTTTGGCTTTCTTGATAGCTACATCACACTGATTTTCACCGTGAATGATTTTGCTCACTCTTTGCTGTTGTTCTTCATTTGTTCTTTTATACGATCTAACAGATGTCGAGCGGTGTCCAGTTTTCTCTGTTATTAGCTGCTCATCAATGCCAGCATCGTAAAGGCGTGTTGCGGCGGTTGCTCTGAGGCTATGGTTTGTGTAGTGGCCAGTAAATCCTGCTATTTTACACAGTTTTGCGACGGTCTGTTGAAGAGTGTGTACTCCAACAGGGGAGTCGGCGTACCAAGTGGAATCTGGGGGGTACCGCAGAGGTCGCAAATAGAGAGCATTGGTTTTACCAGCTTCAGGCCTTTAAAAGAAAATTGCATATTATAGATTAAAGTGTTTTAAATTAAGATATATGTTACAGCAATATTTTGGTGGAAATTAACAACAATATACTTGCCTTAAATGCAGATATTTTTCATACGTGAGCACAGGACATCTCTCGGGAACATTCTTGTTCTGGTATGCTCTGGTAACTTTAGGTTGCAGATTTTTGTGCTGGAGCCCACCGCGATTTGTTTTGGAGACATCCTCTCTATATTCGAGATATCGCAGTCCAGATGCATCCATGGAAAGAGAAATCTGACTGTTTGTCCCAACCCTCAAGTTTCTGTGTTCCTGTCCTGCTCGTAGTGCAAAATGTAGTCCTAGTTGAAACAGTAGAGTATCTAAGAGTTTTTGAGGTGTATCTCTTCCTAAAACTCCCTTGGACCACATTTCATCTTCTTGAGCCTCAGTTATGATCTCTGCCCGTTTCCGCTCTATCCCCATGCCTCGCCCAGAGAGTTCTTTCATCTTTGAATCAAGAATACTGCGCATATCGTGAAATTTATCATCATCCAAAAAGTTTATGAATCTACCTTCATGTCGTAATTTGTGTTGAATTGCACACACAATTTCATACAAGCTATTGGGTCTGTAATCCTCTCCAGATTTATTCCTCACTTCAGCTACAAAGAAACTCATTGTTTTGTTGATTTCCTCATCACTCATTATCATAATATCCTGGTACATAAATGTATCATGGTTTGGTAACATACGCTTTCGTTCATTTTGCCAGTTCAATAGAGTCATTGCCCACTTTTGCTCTGTTTTCTTCGATAAACCTTTAAGTTTTTAACCAAATTATCCAAATCTTCTTGATTGAGCCGTGCAAACCTTTCAATATTTTCTTTTCCTTCTATGTCTTGGGTGGCCTTAACAAGTTCCTCGTCAGAAATATCCGAAAAAATATCTACTTTGAGGTCAAAATTCGGTTGTTTTTTTGGATGTTCTCTTTCCAAATCCAAAATATCACTGAGAATGCCATCCGTGTTGTTTTCTTGTTCATCAACTTCTCTAAACTTGTTTTGTGTTAAAAACACGCTTTCTCCATCTGAAGAGGACATCCTAACCGCAGGGACATTTACTAAGAAGTGGTGTTCGATGTGCATGCTTTTTATACAAAACCAAGGAACTCACCTGTAACTGTCCACTAAGTTAACAATTGAAGTGAATCCTATTCACAGTATTTAAATCAACAAATTTACCTGAGACAGTCTACTAAGAAGACAATGCCAAATTTAATACAAAGGATGTTTACTTCATTGACGTTGCAAGAGAGAGAAACTTTTCTAAGAGAGTCCATTCTGAACACAATGGAATGAAATGTTTTAAGTAGGTTACAAGCCTCAAACTGTCCATTCTGTGAGAAAAAAGAACTATTGTCGGGCCTAACGGCCCTCCAATAGTTCTTTCTTCTCACAGAATGGACAGTTTTCGGCATGTAACCTTTACATAAAGGACAGAGATAAATTCATGAAAATTCCCCAACATTTTATAATGATCGAATAAAAAATTATGCAAAATTTCTTATTCAATTTCCGCTGAAATTATAAACACGAATATGTCTATCAATATATCTTTACCGAGTTATGCAACTCAGGCCAATGTTATTAATTCCGTAATAATTTATGGTCATCCTGAGAATTTGATTTCACAATGGTTAAATTATTGGTTAGGAAAAGCTATAAACCAATGAAATAACAAACCATCAGGCATGTTTTTTCTTGTTGTTAGCTCTACTGGTCAGAGACCAGAAGAGCTTATGCAATAGTAATGCGTCCGTCGTCCGTCCGTCTGTCTGTCTGTTTGTCTGTAAACAATTTTTCAAAATGCTACTCCTCCTACAGTGTTGGTCCGATTTCAATATAACTTGGCACACAAGTAGACTACACTAAGATACATAATTTTGTGCATCGGTTTTTGATTTCGATGAACGGTGTTGCCATGATTACTAAAATTAGAAATTTCTGTGAAATTCTTTCAAAATGCTACTCCTTCTACATTTTTGGTCCGATTTCAGTATAACTTGACACACAAGTAACTATACTAAGATACATAATTCTGTGCATTGGTTTTTGATTTCAATGAACGGTGTTGCCATGGTTACTAAAAATAGAAATTTCTGTGAAATTCTTTCAAAATGCTACTACTCCTACATTTTTGGTCCGATTTCAATATAACTTGGACACACAAGTAGACTACACTAAGATACATAATTCTGTGCATCGGTTTTTGATTTCGACAAAGGTGTTGCCATGGTTACTAAAAATAGAAATTTCTGTGAAATTCTTTCAAAATCCTACTAAGATTTGGTATTTCAATATAACTTGGCACAGAAGTAGACTACACTAAGATACATAATTCTGTGCATGGTTTTTGATTTCAATGAACGGTGTTGCCATGGTTACTAAAAATCAAAATGAAATTTCTGATTTGAAATTGACACACTTTCAAATTGGTTTTTGATTTCTACATGGTTACTAAAAATAGAAATTTCTCCTACAGTTTTGGTCCGATTTCAATATAACTTAGCACAAGTAGACTACACTAAGATACATAACTCTGTGCATCGATTTTTGATTTCGATGAAAGGTGTTGCCATGGTTACTAAAAATAGAAATTTCTGTGAAATTCTTTCAAAATCCTACTCCTCCTATAGATTTGGTCCGATTTCAATATAACTTGGCACAGAAGTAGACTACACTAAGATACATAATTCTGTGCATCGGTTTTTGATTTCGATGAAAGGTGTTGCCATGGTTACTAAAAATAGAAATTTCTGTGAAATTCTTTCAAAATGCTACTCCTCCTACAGTTTTGGTCCGATTTCAATATAACTTGACACACAAGTAGACTACACTAAGATACATAATTCTGTGCATTGGTTTTTGATTTCGATGAACGGTGTTGCCATGGTTACTAAAAATAGAAATTTCTGTGAAATTCTTTCAAAATGCTACTCCTCCTACAGTTTTGGTCCGATTTCAGTATAACTTGACACACAAGTAGACTATACTAAGATACATAATTCTGTGCATCTGTTTTTATTTTGATGAGTGGCAAGGATCATTTTTCTATTTATTGCTGATTTAAAGTCTCAAGTCCCAACTGCTACTTTTCTCTTCCTTTGTTTTAAGTATAAACCAGTAGAGCTACAGTCTTGAAAGAGACGTCTGGTTTTTTTAATTATTTTAGCAAGTTGTTCAGTCTGGATATGAGTTCTACTTAGCGCTACACAGAGTTTAGGTGTGCTGGCTGCTCCACCTTGACATAAAAATCCATTTTGTCGTCATTATCAGATATCTTTACTGTGCCTAATTCTTTTAATGATCTCTGTATTACTGATCAAAATTCTAACAAACTTACACGGCATGAAAACAAAATTAAATTGAATAAATATACACATAAATTGAATTATATTTCCGCTTTTATTACGGGTCCACCGGGAGTTTCAGTGTTGGTGTTGCATATTTTCAATATCTGAATTCATGACTACGCCGAGTGCTTCTTCCATTCATTGACACAATTACATTAATTAACTTTGAAGAGAAGATATATAATATTTGTTAATTATTTCTTGCTTTTATGAAATCTTAATGAAAGACATAATTAGAAAGAGAAATATACACAGTGTCTCTAACAATAATTTTCGAACAGCCCTCATATGTGTAGTCTCAAGAAGGGCAAGGCTACAATAGTTATGCTATTACCATTGAAATGGATGACAAGTAAGGTATGGTAAGAGTACTCAGTAGTAGTAAATGCTAATATACATTTATCATGTTTATTGACTGGGTTCGAGGGCAACATGCATTTCGTCAGACTCAAGAACCAAAACTCGGGCAATAAATCTTTTGTTATAGTCCTTTTTATGTTATTATACCCCCCGCTTGAAAAGTGGGAGGGTAAATATAGTAATCGGTATTTCCGTCCGTCCGTCTGTTACGCTTTATCTCTTATCTGCAACTCCTCTTATACTACTGAGTGAAATTTAATGAAACTTTTACAGAATCCTCATTACATACAATCTAATTAAAATTAGACGTTAGATCCGCTCGCATACTCCCTATACACTAACATCTAACAACATCCCATAGAGGGTCACGTCAAAGGTCAAAGTCGGAACAACTCGAGATCTATTCGCTTCGATTACTTCGACAAATGTCCGATGATTTTGCCAGCAACAATTTGATTGGTTGATAGAATTTGACCTCTGACGTGACCCTCTATGGGATGTTGTTAGATGTTAGTGTAGCTAGTATGCGAGCGGATCTAACATCTAATTTTAATTAGATTGCATTACATATTGCCATTGTGCACCTCCTATTTTCCTTTTTTATTCGACACGTATTTTAGGTTTCCCGTAGCAAAACATGGACATTAATTGCCATTATATGTTTACCTATTACGTCACATGTAGAAGCTTCTGGATAACATTTGATAAGAAGAGATATTGATTTATTCCTCTTTACACATTACCGTAAAACAATAATTAGCAACACTTGGACATTATGGGAGGCAGGGGGTATCATTTAGTGAGCTCGTTGCTCACAGTACCTCTAGTTTACCTTAAAAATCTTCTTCTCAAGAACCACTTTGCCAGGAAGGATGAAACTTATGAGGAAACATCGTGAGGTAGTGTAGATTAAAGTTTGTTCAATTCATGACCCTTGGGGGTAGGGAGCGGGGCCACAATGACCGATCAAAGTTTTATATATAGAAATTTATAGGAAAATTCTTTTAAAATCTTCTTCTCAAGAACAGCAAAGCATGATTGGTCTTATTATACCCCCGCTTGAAAAGTGGGAGGGTATAAAGTAATCGGTATGTCGGTCCATCTGTTCCGCTTTGGGGTACCCATCTCTTATTCGCAACTCCTCTCATACCACTGAAGGAAATGCAATGAAACTTTCACAGAATCTTTATTACATATTGCCATTATGACCTCCTATTTGACTCTTTTATCTGCCATATATTTTGGATTTTCCAGAGCAAAATATGGATACTGCCATTCAATTCATATGGGAGGCAGGGGGTGATGGTGATTATTTAGTGATGCTCAGAGTACTTCTAGTTTAATTATATGGAAGCATCCCCAGATAGTGTAGATTCACTTTTGTACAAATCAGGCCCCTTGTGGTCGGGGGGGGGGGGTCACAATGGCTGATCAAAGTTTTAAAAAGAAAAATATATACTAGGAACATTTTTTTAAAATTCTTCTTCTTAAGAACAGCAAAGCCATGATTGGTCATATTTATATGGAACCATCTCCAGATAGTGTATTTTCAAGTTTGTTAAATCGTGACCCCTGGGGGGGGGGGGTTAGGGCAGGGTCACAATGGGATCAAAATTTTGCATAGAAAAACTGAAATTATTTAAAATTCTTTTTCTCAAGAACAGCAAAGCCATGATTTGTCATATTTTTATGGAAGCATTGTCAGGTATCGTAGATACAAGTTTGTTCAAATCATGACTCCTGGAGGTAGTACAGGGTCACAATGGCCGTTTACATAGAATTATGTAGGAAAATTCTTTTAAAATTTACTTTTCAAGAACAGCAAAGCCATGATTGGTCATATGCAAGCATAGTCAGGTAGTGTAGATTAAATTTTGTTCAAATCATGACCCCCATGGGTAGGGCAGGGCCATAATGGTTGAGCAAAGTTTTGCATAGAAATACATATACATTGTATAGGAAATTTTTATGAGTTAACCTGAACTTTTCTGATCACACCGTTTTCCGTCATCAC